CAGGCCGTCTGCCACCTCACACGCACAACTGGGACGACGGGCGACGACGACCAAGACGAAAGACAGCACAGCAAAATTGTGAACCGAACCAGCGCTGCTGCCTGACCGGCCTAAAAAACAACCAGTTGTTTTTCGCGCCCGAACTTCGGCCGCCGCACCGCCGAACCAGACGCAGACAAACTACTGACTACTACAAACTGGAATCGGCACTTAAAAATGAATCCTTCTTCCAGCGCTCGGCCGCGCCGTATCGACGACGACTGCTGAGTGAGTGCGCCGCCGAGGCGACTGCGAGGGGAGGAGGAGGAGGAGGAAGCAAGCAATGCAACGAACAAAGCCGCTTCGACGAGCTGCGGCAGCCATGCGAGCCTCTGCCTCTCTTTCTCTCTCTCTCTCACTCACTCATTCACTCATTCATTCACTCTCCCTCTCTGTCTGTCTGGCTTTGTTATGATTTGAGTTCTTCCTTTTACTCTTGTTACGTACGCCCACAGCCGACGACTGATGTTTTGTAAAGTTGTACAAAGAATACCTCGGCTAATCAGCCGACTCTCCCTGGCTCTGGTTCTGGTCCTGGCCCTGGTCCTAAAGACAAATCCACATCAAAATCTCCCACATGCCGGTTTTTCGTATGCCATTTATGCGGCTTGGTGGAATTCACGATCAGCCGCTTGCGTAAAGCCATTCTATTTCACCTTCACCAAACCATTGAACACGTCTACTTATTCAAAGGACATGCTTCGCCCGAAAAATCATATCTTCTGGTCGTTACGAAGGACCATACTCTGTGAGTCAGAAATCAAAATGAGAAAAAGAGCTGAGCGCACGCTACGTCAGAAATGTTTATATGTTGTTGGCGTTACGCTACCCTAATCATTCAGCAGACGTCACTCCTTCTCCACAAAGCGCTTATCGTCACATGAAAAATTGTAAAGCATAATTAATTTCGTCGTCTGCCTTAAACGCAGATTCTTTCATCACGATCACCCAAATAAATCACGAAGTCCTTTTTAAGTAGCTGTGTGAAAAGAAGAATCACAAACACGTAATGAGCCTCAGTTTCTGTCTGCCATTGCCCACCGTAATGCCAGGGACGACATGTTTCCGCGACCACAAACTTCAGAAGAGTACAAGGCAGCAACAGGAACCAGAATCTGTTAGGCGGTCTAAAAGTGGATGACAGATTATCATATAACCATCGGCATCTTGCATAAGATAATCTACATCTCCTACTAGGTAATTTCTTTCACGAAAGACTAGAGCGTTGTCTACCACGGTCATAAGGCTTCAGACACCATAAGCTTTTTGAATTGCTTTTCACCAATGATAGCCTTTTACAAGAGAGTGCATACATCTGTTTCGTACGAAGTCACACATATAACTCATATAACATATATAACTCGAACTTTCACTCTCCACTGCGACAGAAAACAAATGCTGCAGGAGTGCAACTGTGCTTTGTCTCGCTGATAGCAGCGGTTGTGCAGAAACTCGTAAAGTGAGGACCGTTTCGCCGAAAAGAGAGTCATGTGGGTCGCGTGATTCGCAGTGAGCTACACCACAAAGTCGGTCGCTTCGGAACGACGAGACTCAATCAGACCTCCTCTGTCATCTTCTCTGTTTGCGCTTATCAGCTAGCTATTGCAGAAGACGACGAGGAAGTAGAGGAGGAAGAGGAGGAGGAAGAGGAAGAGAAAGAGGAAGAAGAGGAAGAAGAAAAAGAAGAATGGGACAAAGTCCTCCAGGCTCTTGCATTCGTCTGGATCTCATCGCTACG